CTGCCAAGGTTGGAATTAGGTTTGCCACGCTCACTGCCTCGCCACTTTGAGAACTTTTGTTAGACATCCATCGCCTTTGCGAGAAGCTTTCTATATCCTCACCTGCTATCATCATACTTGAAATTCAACAATCTGGCTCTAAAAAAATAAAAGTGGCAAGAAGTAAAGAGAATAAGTTTACGGCAGTACATTAACATTTTAATCTATACGCTGGTAAAGCCGTGAAAATATGTAAGATCTTAGAATCCCTTGAAGTGAGTTCAATGACAAAAAGCTATCGAGAGTGGGCTTTCTTGTAGCATTGAACTGAAAATCAAAATTACAACTTACGATCAAATGAGCTTGAGATGGACCCGTTACAGATGAGACAAACCAAGCAAAGCAATCTTACAATTTTGCATTGTTCATTCTCGAAAAATAGATCAGACTCGAACAGTATATATTGAGAATATAATAGGAAAACTAAATCAAGCGCTGGTTAATGGAGATTGAGCATTGGCTGCTAGAAAAGTTCACTACGACTTTATTCAACGAGAATGAACAAAATAAAGCAGATAAGAGTAGACTGCAGAGTGCAATGCTTTCGTAATTGACTTAATCAATGAATTTATTGATTTACAAATTCATTATTGGCAATATCGGTGATAAAAAAAAACCCTAATAAATTACAGAAAAGTAGTTTTGAGATAACGACGTATATAAAAATGCAGACGTAGTAAACAGGGCAAAATAAAGGTGTATCACAACAAAACAGCCGATTTTTATAGGTATGTGCGTAGTGTAGGACCAGCTAAATAGAGAGATAATGGCATTTAATGGTTTTTTTAAAAATTAAAAATGGTGCCTTGTAACAACCTTGTGAGAAGCAGCAATTAAGAAGGGAAACGATGTAACCAGCAATAAGATTGCATCATCAGAAACCGACAGCTGAGTTCTTCTGAGGCCAGAATGCACCTCATTTTTGATTGTTCTCGGCCTAGTGGTGCACTTAATGCCGTTGATGCCATTAGTCCCCCTGAACTCATATGAAACAAAAGCCACAATCAAAAGCGCATATGGGGTACACCGCTTCCAATTAGTAAAACGGCGAAGCCGATGCGAATCATTGAAAAGCTGCGCGTGTGCTGCTCAGAAACTCAGATGGTGTAATATGAGGCGGTGAGGAGGTAGGAGAGGCGAGAGAAGCACGATGTATGAAGGCAGGGGAGGAGGGCGACGACGGGCGCCCGCCGGACGGCCAGCTGGTCGGCTAGCGAGCCTCATCGTCCCCTTCGACGAGCGCAAACGGAGGAAGGCCACACGACCGGAGAGTGCCAGCAACGCGGATTCGCGATGGCAGCCATCCGGAGCGGTCTGCTCGACG